TATTATGTATATATAAATATATATTTATATATAAGTTTATATATATAAAGTCTTCTGTTTTAAAAAAAAATCTGTTTATATGAATTTCCTTGTTAGATTTCATAAAAGTTCTATAAGGTCCATAATGTTATAAAATGTGACAGATAATAGAAACCTTGAGATCATGTAACTCTTTAGAAAACAAAAAAACTTCTTGAATCCATACAATTTCCAGTAAACAATGCCATTTTCTATATGTATCTTTCTTACCTATGTGTTTGCCTGTGTCTGAGAATAATGTAGCTTGATGTATACAGTATTGTGAAAATCTCCTCATTACTAACTTCCTGAATTCCAATTATTTTTATCTAATATGTAACATTTCTGCATGAACCCTGACACAAAATAATAAAGGACAAGTGGTTTGCCTTGAGAGTACTATTTTGTTTTCTCTTTCACCCACCCATCCCCAGGTGCCATGTATTCCAACATATATTTGAGTAGCATTTAGCATAGATTAAAAGCACAATTTTTATTATGAGGTCCTCAAAGACAAACCACAGACTGGAAGTTTGTATTTGTAACACATATATCTGATGAAGGAGTTATATCTATAATGTAGTAAGAACTCTTGAAACTCAAAATAACAAAACAACTTAATTACAAAATGGACAAAAGATGTGAACAAACACCTCACCAAAGAAGTTGTACAGATATCAAATATGCATATTAAAATATATTCAATATCACATGTCATTAAGAAATAAGACAAAGAGATGCCACAAAATATCAATTAGAGTGACTGAAACCCAAAACACTGACAATACCAAATGCTGGAGAGGATGTGGAGTGACAGCAACTCTCATTCATTGCTGCGGGGGATGCAAAATGATACAACCACTTTAAAAGACATGCTGGCAGTTTCTTATAAAGCTAACCATAAGCTTACCATTCATTTCCACAATTATGCTCATAGTTGTTTACCAAATAAATTTAAAATTATATTCATATAAAAACCTGCACACAAATACTTATAGCAACAACCAAGGTTTCCTTCAATAGGAAGGACAAACAAAATATGGTATATCCATGCGACTAGGTATTTTTCAGCAATTACAAAAATTAATGAGCTGTTAAGCTGTGAAAGAACATGAAGGAAGTTTAAATGCAAATTGTTAAGTGAGAGAAGTCAGTCTGAAAACATTACATACTATATAATTCCAACTAATGATATTATAGGAAAAGCAAAACTATGAAGATGATAAAATCATCAGTGATCTCCAGGGCTTGGAGGGGCAAAGGAGGGATGAAGAGTTGGTACACAGAATATTTTAGATCACCAAAACTGTTCTGTATAATATTGTCATGGTGGATACACTATGGATTTGTCATAACTCATAGAACAGTAAAACACAAACTGTGAAACCTAAAATAACCTAGTGAAATTAGTTAATATTAATATATTAAAATTGGTTCTTCAACTATAAAAATTGTATTGCACTATGAAAGATGTTAAATAATAATAAAAGAAACTGGTGTTGGGGATGTGCAAGGGATTATTAAGGAAAATTTGTACCTTATGCTTAATTTTTCTGTAAATTAAAACTGCTCTAAGCACGTTATTAATGTTAAAAATGAACCGAAAAGAAGTAACACCTCAAATGGAGACTAAACTGAATTGGAATGCTTTTTGTCAAAAAATATAAAATATATGAAGGTAATATAATACAATTTTTTTCTGTTCAGTATTTTTAATAACTAAATGTTACTGGAATAAATATTCTATCATATATCTGTGTATTTTTATTAATGTGTGTGTTTTTTTAAATTTTAAATATATTTTAAATTGCAATATAGTTTACCAAATGATATCCATTATCTAGTATAATTCAAGCATTAATTCAGTGTTATTTTCATTGTGATATGTTTAGCAAAAACCGTATAAAACACCTTAGCAAATAACAAAGATTTTATTTTTAAAACTGCTTCATGTATAGATAATAAAATTATAAGTAGCATAATAACTGAAATTTGTACTCCCTTCAAAATTTTTAACTTAAGTGAATAGATGCAATTTTCCTATTTTCAGTGATACTCACCCCTCAACCTTTTTGTCTCTTTCTACATTCCTTGTTTTTGTTATGATTTTGGTGAGTGGGTGCTTATTTTACACCTTTTATTTTGGAAAGATTTTACCAAACGTTTACAAAAGTAAAAAGTTTGGTATATTAATCACTCAATTTACCTTAATTTTACATATGGCATAACCATAGAAGATTTGCCATACTCAGAATTAACACTGATACAATACTGTTAATTAAACCACAGATGTTATATTTATTTCAACAGATTTTCCCACTAACATTCTTTTTTGGTTCCAGAAAACAATCCTGGATAGCACATAGAATGTTCCAGTAGTGTCCCCGTGTAGGCTTTTCTGATCTGTCACAGTCTCAATTTTTCTCGATTTTTTATCTTGTTGCTACTTTTGAATAGTATTGGTCTCGTATTGTGTAGAATGTCCCTCAATTTGTCCTTGATGTGTTCTTATAGTTGAAGTGAGATAATGAAGTTTGGAGGAATATTACAGGAGTGAAGCATTCTTCTCGTTTCATGACATAAGGGGTACATGAATGGCAACATGACTTTTCATGGTGATAATAGACTTGGTCAGGTGGTTAAGATGCTATCTGCTTTCTGGAGTTCTCTATAAAGTGTCTATTTTTCCCTTTTCCTTCAATATTTTTTGCAAATGTGTCACTAATTGAAACCCACATTCAGGAGATAGTATATCTATAAATTACTTGGAAGTCTTGTGTAAGGAAGACTTGTTCCTGATTCTTTTTTGTTTATTAATTTATTTATTATGTATTCAATCATTTATTTATAATGGTATGAACTCCTAGGTATATTGTTTTTTGAATTTGAACCCATTATTATTAGTACTTGTTTTGTTGCTTGAATTATTCAAAATTTGGCTATGAGAGCTCTTTCAGATTGGAATCTGAATTCCTTTGGCTATTTCTTTTTCTTTGTTTTCTCTTTTTTTTTTTTTTTTGAGACAGAGTCTTGCTGTGTGATCCAGGCTGGAGTGCAGTGGCGCAATCTCAGCTGTAAGCAGCCTCCACCTCCTGAGTTCAAGCGATTCTTCTGCCTCAGCCTCCCAAGCAGCTGGGACTACAGGCGCTTGACCCCACATCCAGCTAATTTTTGTAGTTTTAGTAGAGACGGGGTTTCACTATGTTGACCAGGTTGGTCTTGAACTCCTGACCTTGTGCTGTGCCCACCTCAGCTGCCTAAAGTGCTGGGATTACAGGCGTGACCCACCGTACCTGGCCAACTATTACTTTTTTTAAATAAAAAATATATCTGGAGAAACATTATGTAAATAGTGTTTGGATCATTTCAATATAATGCAATAACTTAGCACTACATCATTCTGCCTACACATTCAAATTACACATTTTGGTCATTAATTTATTTAATACAATTTATGAATCATCTACTGTATGTTAGATACTGTTCTAAATGCTGTAACTAGGTTAGGGGATATGGCCAGAGATGTCATAGGGAGCTGGGTGATGCAGAACATTGCAAACCTTTGCAAAAATCTTTGGCTTTTTTTTTTTTTTTTTTTTTTAACATAAAATAGAAAGCCCCTGCAATGTGTTGAGCAGATTAAGTTACCCACTTAATATAGAGCCAGGTCACTCCAGCCACTGTGTTAAAAATAGACTATTGATTGACTAGTGTTGGGGTAGGAAGAGCAGTTTGGATATGCAATACAGGTGAGATTCATGCTTGGACTGTAACTGTGAACAGACAGTGTAGTGGATATCTGATGGATTAGATGTGAGGTGTGGGAGAAATGGAGAATTTAAAGATGATTCCAGGTTTGAAGTGCTGAACAACTAGATGATAAAGTTGCACAATGTGTGCCCGCAAAGTATGTGAAAACATGCACATATCCCTATTGTTTATATTTTTGAAAATAGAAAATATTGAGTGTAATATAATATAAAATATTAAGTGTGAACACAATAACTGAAGAGTGTAAAGTGAATCTCTAGGGCATAATGTGTAATAAAATTATAAATGAATACATTATTTTAGTTGTTTTTAAAAGTAAAGATTAGCCTCAGGTAGATAACAGGTTTCCTCCTCTATATATTTTGTGTCATTTTATTTTTATGTTTTCATTGAAAATTACATTTAAGAATATTTTCCTTTAAAATCATTTTGAATCAGTGATAATATATTTTGGATTTCTTTTCATTTGTTTCTTCATCAGATTTACATATCTCAGAGGACTAGGAGGTTTTCTAAAAGCTCTTCTGTCAGGATGTTTTTCAGATTTCATTTTTCATTCTGAGGCTATCTGTATTTTCCATAACATAGGGTTGTGGAAAATGCGGTACTTACTATAGATTTTGTATATCAGTTCAATAGATTTCCAAAGATATACAATGTTAAAATAATGCTTGCTTCTTTTTCCCCAGGTTATAAAAAGTTTCTCTACAAATTCCAATCTCATAGTTTGCTATCTTTCCAATCTTTATATGAAGTGAAGAATTCATCATTTTATATTGTGTAAGTTATTTTAAGTTAGTTGGGATTATAATTAGTACTGATAAAAATATTTTTTCATTTTAGAATGCTTTAAATGCACATGCACATATAACATATTTATATATAAAACATATATAAACATATATATGCCACTTCTCTTGTCCTTAGATAGCATTTTTTAAATATTATGTAGTAATGTACTAGGACTTTAAAAAATTTAACTTTAAGAGAGCACTTTGCTAATGTTAAATACATTTCAATGTAAATGTGTGTGTGTGTTTGAAGATTAGTGCATCCAGAACTCAGAGATAATGAAAATGCTCTGTCTATTCTTGCTTTGGAATTTCAGATAAGAGTAGTCATATTACAAAGCAGAGATAAAAGGAGAAAGCAAGAAATAATTCAATTGCTGGTAAAGTAATACGCTACACAGCAAATCACAATAGCGTGTTATATATAGAAATAAGATCAGTCATTGTTTTCAAGCCTGCTAAATAAAACTGAACTCTTGGAATGGCATACCATTTGACCTTTCGAAGGTTCTCCAGCAGTATTTAACTGGCGCAAAAGGAGCACACTCGCAATCGTCTACTTTTGACATGACAGACCCTCCTGTTAGTTCACACAATGTTCAAAAGGCAGAAGTCCCTCGCTTCAGAACGCAAGAGAGGATTATTTTCTCAAAGAGCTACACGGTTCATACTGAGGGATGATATGAGAAATTTTCACTTTTTGTCAAAACTTGTACTCTCAGCGGGCCCTCTAAAACCAACGCCAGCAGTCAAACATTCAAAAACAACTCACTTTGAGATTGAAATACTTGATGCTCAAACAAGGAAACAGATATGTATTCTGGATAAGGTGAGTTTATTTTTTTATTTATTTGTTTATTTAAGTGTTTCTTCTCTGCCTCAAATATTATTGATTGCTTGATTAAATTCTAACACAACTGTTCTAAAATACATTTCTGACTTTTACCTTAATTTTGTGGTGAAGAGCATGCATACTTTATGCATTGTTTTAATAGAAGATGTTCAATGCATCTCTCATACTCAATTTAAATTAACTGAATGGTAGATAATAATGAAGTTCTGTCATTGGTCTGTGAATTTTATGCTGTCATTGACCATTGTCCACAGGTAAAATTACAAATGCTCAACCTATTTTCTTACACGGAAAATGTCTCCAGATTTTTGTCTTCGTGTACTTCATTGTATATACAAATTATCTTAGAGTTTAATTAGTGTCTATAGAAAATAGTACGCAAAAGCCACAGTAGTTGTTAGAAATACCATGTAATATGTCTGAAAAATTTCACCATTTAAGCATTAATTTGAATTGATTTTATTACTTTTCTTAAAAAGTGACTACCTAACTTTTTGTGAAAGTTTACTTGCTTCAAAAACAGTATTTAAGTTTTTGAAAATAATGTTTTGAAATGTTACTCATCTAAATCCACATTCACAGATGTTGCACTAAGGAGGGAGAAAATATACTCTTCTTAGGTTAGAAAACTAAATTATAATATATTTTAGATAAACATATGCATAATAGTATTCCAAGCATTTTCAGTTTTTAATAAATTTGAAAAGTACTATTAATTTAACTTAATATGAGAAAGATGTATTTGTACAGGTAATAAAATAGAACTTGATCTTGTTTTACAAAAATATTGAATACGTTTTTGTTGCTGTGTTCTAAAAATAAAATGTAATCACGTATTCCATTTTTCCATGTTTATCTAGGTCTTTAGAAGAAAGGAAAAAAGAAACTGTTTAGTCTTTTCCTTAATAATTGACAAATACACAATATATAATTTCTTATTCAGTAATTATAACATTATGAGCAGCTTATAAATTGAGTTATATTAACTCTAATTCATAGATGGAAAAGAAATATTAAGACCTTTTATAAGTGCATACAGGTCGTTAATGGAACTTAAAAGATCTAAAACCATTTCTGTACAGTTTTAAATCATACGCTTTTTCTATAGTTCTACTGAGGCCATATATAAGCGATGAATATATATCACACAAAATAGAATTTTGATATATTAGTTTCAAGACTTGTATAATTTACTTTTCTTTTTGTATCAAAGTGAAGTTTTGGGATTTTTAAATATCATACAAAATATTTAATATTTACATATCATATTAAGTATTTAATATTTAAATATCATAAGAAAAATAAAAAAATAAAATTAACCTTCAGACGTTGCTAATGTTTACAATATTCCATTATGAAAAACACAAATCTTACAAGAAAAACACAGTTAAATCCAAGGACACAGTGCAACAAATGGAATGAAAATCAAATAAGTCAAGGATTTCCAAGGACTACAATTCTAAAATGACACTAGTTATTGTGTCCTTTCTGACATGTGTATAGACCCTGACAGGCAATCCACCTTAAAGTAATGAAAAACTAATGATGTTTAAATGTTCTTTTACTTAATTACACACACACACAAACACACATGCCAATGAGTTCCTAATTATTTGCCTCATACACTTAAATTTTTTCTTACTGATATTTTATTTGAAGGTAACACAGGGATTTTTACATTTTTAGGTGTTAATTAAATTGTGAAAAAAAGTAAACATTTAGAAGAAATGAAATTTAAATATTCATTATTTAGAGATGAGAATTTTGCAATTTTGCATCGGAATCTAATGTTCGAACTATGATAGTCCTGACATTTGCATATCAAGTGGCATATCTTTGTAGAAACTTAGCAGGCTAACTAGAGGATTAACACTGGATTGTTCCTAATCCTTTATTGCACAATCAGCCCTATATAATGTGCAATTAGTTGCATTCAAATCTTTGACGGCTGAGTAGAACTGGATCTTGTGTCTTGTTTTAGTTTGTAAATTGATAAACTGTTTCATAATAGTGGTGAGACACTTGAGAGAAAAAAGTTTTCTAGGTTAATTTTTTGTTTTTGCTTAGTGATTTCTAACATTTTGAATTTGTAAACATAAAAAAGACTGATTTATTTTTACATTTTTATTATTATTCCTGATGTTATTTTTCTTAGACAAATTGACAACTTTATAGTAAGATCATATTAAGTACGCTTCATTATACCTGGCTCTACCCAGTGTACAAAAGACATGTCGCTTATAACTTAGTGCCTGTCTTTCAATACTTACTATGCAGTAAAGTGGTACAAATCACATATCATGTACTTTGGAATTAAGCATATCTGGACTCAATCCCTGTTACATCATTTGTATCTATCAAGGATTAAGAAAGTCACTGAATTGCTGATGCCAAAGACCCCTATTTAGAATATGGGTTAATAAAATCATATCAATAAAGTTAATAAATTTCACTTTGGAAACTTAGAGTAAGGATAATACATGTAACATGCTTAGAATAGTGCCTTGACCATAATATGGACAAAATTATTATTATCATCTTATTTTTAATAATCATTTGGAGAAAGTAATATACATAAAAATATAAAAATAATAAATTCTGAGCCTTTTGATAACTGGCTCAGAATTTAAATTTGACTTCTTAATATTTAATTATTCTTTGACATGATTTGTTATAATGCTTAGGATAGATATAATATTTTTCAAATATCTTAAATGAGATATATTATCTTAGTAATATATGCTCTAACAGAAACTTTGTTTTAGGTTTATTACTCAAACTTTAAAATGGACAAAGTATAGACTCACAATATGCATGAGATAAAAATTTTCAGAAAAGTCCTCGGATGAAAGAAAATATATTTCATGTTCTTTTACTTAATTACACACACACACACACACACACGCCAAACAAACAAAAAACTTTCTCTTACCTCTGCTGTTTTCTCTAGTTTTTGCCCATTTCTCTCATTACTTTCCTCAGGTATTCATATTGTCAGCTTTCATTAGCCTTTTCTCACTGTATCCTAGTCCCAATTTATTTGGGCACTCGCTTCTATCAGTTCCCAGATTCTGAACTTACTGAGGTCACCAGTGAAGCATGGCAAATACTTTACTAAATGCGGAGGTCTATTCTCACGTCTTATCTTACTGTGTATATCAACAACATTTTCCACTGTTAATCACTTCCTCCTTAACTAGCATTTGTTATTTGAGTTCCAGGAGAATATATATGTTTTTTAACCAACTTCATTGACTTTTCCCTTTCCTTATTGCTGATTCTTCATCTGACTTATTAGGAATGGATTTTCAATAACTGAGTCATCACAACTTCTCCTCCTCTACAATAATTTACTTTATTGAGTTTCATAATTAAAAAAAATCTTCCTAGTGGTCTTATATATTGTCACCTATTATTTTGCTTTGACTGTAAATCTACATATCTATATATCGATTGAATCTATTGAACTATTTGGATGTTTACCAGGCATATCAAACTTAATATCTCTGAAACTGACCATTTGGTCTTCTCCCAAACATCTTCCAGACAGCTACTTAAGCCAATAAGTGATGACTACATCCTTCAAATAGCTCAGGCCAAACACTTGGAGAAACCATGACTTGTCTTTTAATCTCATACCCCACATACAATCCATCTTCTTGTCAATAGCTTCAAAATATATCACCCCTTCTACTTGTAGCGCTTCTGAATCTTCCCCCTACTTGTGTCTTTATCACTTTCAATATATCTGCTACATAATAACAAGAACTAGTCTGTTAAATCCTGGCAGATAATATCATTCACTCCTCAAAACTAGTCAATTCTTTTCTTTAGGTCTTAACTGTTAACATTTCCTGGAGGCTTTTCCTGACTACTAAGAGAGCAAAGCTAGCCAACATTTTTTTATTATGTTTCCTTGTTTTATTTCTTAACTAGACTTATTGCCAACTAAACTACTATTTATTTTTCTTTCTTCATTGAGTTCATTATTTGGCCTACTCTTAGTATATAAGCACAAAAATATCAGATTGTTTGTTTTACACACTTGTATCTTCAGTGTTAACAGCAATGTTTAACACAAAGAAAGTGTTTAACCAATATGTGTTGAATAAATGCACGCCTGTTCAAGAAGTATGTGAATTTCACATGGCATTCATGTTCAGTAGTGGTAGTTTTGAGGTGGAGGAGTATAATATTTGAAAATAAATTTTATTATTTTCTACATCAAATCAAATTATTATTAGAATATTTGTTCATACATTCACAGAAAAAGACATTCTCTCAAACCATTTTACTAAATGCTCAAATTCTCCCCAGCTTATCCTGAAAACAAATACATGTAATTTAACTTTGTGTTAGTGCATCATTCAATAATAGATAGTCATGTTCTGATAACAATTTTAATGTGATTTTCATAAAGCAGATGGGAATATTTATTTAGCTCATTTAGTTAGTTTCCATGAATGACTAAAATAACTAATCATGGATAACAAAATGGAGACCAGATTTAAAATAATTGTTAAATACCATTTTTCAAGTATTTGTTGGAACATTAAAAATATGAGATTGTAGGAAAAATAAATTTTAAAAATATAACAGTGAATCATTTCCAGTTGTTGCCTGCTGTTGTCTCATTTCTTTCTTGTAAAATGTCACAAGCTTATCTACTGATAAGTCAATGACTGATTCAAGAGCATGCAAGAACTCTAAGAGCCTGAGATGAGAAACGGTAAATGTTTCCAATATCATCTCATTCTAATTTCCTCAATCTTTTCTCCAAGTAACCTGACCTCAAGAGCTCTCTTTCTCCTATTGTTTGTTTGTTTGTTTGCTAGTTTGTTTTGGTCAAAACTATCAAAAGCTTTTTAAATCTTTCTTATGAAGAAAATAAAGCATTCAATAATTCTCTAATGCTTCTAATAATAAAAATAACAATTATCCTCAGAAAACAGTGGAAACAATTATAGGGTAGTAAGAGGGCATACCAATTGTACCTTTGTAACCTTAGAAAGTTTGACAATTCTTAATTTTTGACATTTCCATTTTAATACTTTACCTTGTACATGATACTTAGCATATTTATGCCTTAGTTTGTTCATCTGTAAAATGGGAATAGTATCTGCCTTAGAATGGCCACATGGCAGTTGTTAGAATTTCATGTACATGCAAATGACAGTGCCTTCTCTTTTTTTTTTTTTTTTTTGTCTTTCTCTTCATTTTTCCTTCTCTTTTCCTCCATCTGCTCTTCTGCCTCTTCTTCACATTCCTGCCCCTCTTTTCCTCCTCCGCATGCCCCTTCAGTCTTCTTTTTCCTATTTCTTATGATGTTTCATGACATAAGAATTAATCAAAAGCATATGGGAGTTGAATTCAGAAAGACTAGTATATTAACATAAATCTGAGAGTGTGATTTCTTTTTCCTTAGGCATGGTGTGGTATCTCTGACTCTTATTCATTTTTTTATGGAACAGGAAGGCTTTCCTGGAGAAGTTATATTTATGTGTGTCCTAGATAGTTTATAAGAAGAATATAACTGGGAGATATGCCTGAGGCTAAAATAATTTACTAAAAGGAAACCTATTTCCTATTAAATCAAGATTGAATGAATAAAGTTAATACTGGAAACACTTGTTTAAAAACATACATAAAGCTTAAATAACATATCTGTCTATGGAAACTAGCAGTGAAGTGGTGACTATATCAAGAGAGACATGCACATTTGAGAGAGCTATGCCTGCTTTGTTATTCAAATAGTTTAGATTACATGAAGCTTATAATGAAATGTATTTGCTAACCTTAAAATGCATGAATTTAATGGGAAAGACAGATAACACATTTAAAACAAATTGCAATATAATAAATAGCATACACAAGTTTAACACAAATTATACTGAGAAGTCTGGGGAAATAATTATTTTATGTAGAAGAAACGTAGGTATGAGTATGAGAGTCAAAGAATTGTTCAGCTGAAGATGGCACTTGAAAGGATCTTAAAAAATATGTAGTATAGAACATTAGCCTGGTTGAGGTCAAAAGAGCAACCCAGGAAGAAAATTTAGGATATCCAAGAAAAAAGAGGCAGGAAAGTAGTAAGCCAAGCCTCTTGGGCTGGTGTAATTAAGTACATGGTTTGATACTTCAAAATGGAGCAAACTGAGACTAAAATGGTATAGCTGGGACTGATGAGAGAGGGTCTGATTGCCTTGGTAGGGTGTTTAAACTATTTTTCTTTGAATAGGGTAATCCATATTTTTAGATCTGCCTTTCAGAAATTAAATCTGTCAACTATGTAGAAGATAAAATGTGTAGTAGAAACCCTGAAGACAGTTCTGTAAAAGGAAGAAGAAATCTTGTGTGAGCTTGTTGAAGACTGCCACATTTGGGAGGCAAGATGGTATTGGGATCTGCTTAGGTTTTAAGACACTCAGCCACCTCACACACTTATCCAGGTTGTGACATTGAGCAAACTTATGTTTTCCCTTATATTTATTGCATTAGGCCATTCTCACATTGCTGTAAAGAAATATCTGAGACTGGGTAATTTATAAAGAAAAGATGTTTAATTGGCTCACAGTTCTGCCGGCTATACAGGAAGCCTAGTGACATCTGCTTCTGGGGAGGCCTCAGGAAGCTTCCAGTTGTTGCAGGATGCTAAGGGGGAACAGGTACTTCACATGACCAAAACAGGAGAAAAGAGGAAGAAAGAGGAGATGGCACACACTTTTAAACAATCGGATCCTGCAAGAACTCACTCACTATGAAGACGACAGTACCAAGAGAATGGCACTAAACCATTCATGAGAAATCTTCCCCCATGATCCAATCACCTCCCCACCAAGCCCCACCTACAACACTGGGAATTCCATTTCAGCATGAGATTTGGGCAGGAACAAATTCCCAAACTGTATTTTTCTGCCCTAGGTCTCCCCAAAATCTGATACCTTTCTCACACTTCAAAATACCATCATGCCTTCCCAATAATCCCCTAAATTTTTAACTCATTTTAGTGTTACCTCAAAAGCCCAAAGTCTGAAGTTTCTCTGAGACACAGCAAGTCTTTTCCGCCTATGATCCTGTAAAATCAAAAACAAGTTAGTTACATCCAAGATACAATGGAGGTACAAGCACTGAGTAAACATTCCCATTCCCAAAAGGAAAAACCCACTAAAAGAAAGTGGCTACAGAGTCCAGGCAAGTCCAAAACCTAGTAAAACAATCATTAAATCTTAAAGCTCCAGAATAACCTCCTTTGATGCCATATCTCACATCTAAGACACACTGGTTTGATAAAGTGAGCTCCCAAAGTCTTGGATAGCTCCACCCCTGTGGCTTTGCAGGGTTCAATCCCTATGGCTGCTCTAACAGGCTAGTGGGTTGGCATTGAGTGCCAGCAACTTTTCCAGGCAAAAAGTGCAAGCTGGTGGATATATCTTTCTTGGGATCTGAGGACAGTGGCCCTCTTCTCACAATGTCATGAGGCAGTGCCCCAGTGAGGACTCTGTGTGGAAACTCCAACTTCACACTCTGCACTGCCCTAGTAGTGGTTCTCCATGATGGCTCCCCACTGCCCTAGTAGAGGTTCTCCATGATGGTTCCACCCCTGCATCAGGCTCTTGCTTGGACACCCAAGTTTTTTCATATATCCACTGAAATCTAGGCCATGGTTCCCAAGCCTCAACTTTGGCACTTTGTGTACCTGCAGGCTTAAAACCACATGGAAGCTGCCAATGCTTATGGCTTACACCCGCTGAAGCAGCATCCCAAGCTGTACCTAGGTCCCTTTGAGCCAGGGTTGAAGCTTCAGCAGCCAGGAGGCAAAAGCACTGTCCCGAGTCTAGGCAAGGCAGCAGGGCTCAAAACCTGGCCCAGGAAACCATTCTGTTCTCCTAGGCCTCAGGGTTTATGGTGGGAAGGGCTGCCTCTTAGATCTTTTAGATGGCTTCCAGGACTTTTTCTCATTGTCTTGGCGATCAGCACTTGCCTTCTTTTTAGTTACACAAATTTCTCTAGCAAGTGGTTGCTCAGTAGCCTGCTTGAATTCCTTCTCAAAAAACTCTTTCTTTCTGTGCCACATGGCCAAGCTACTTTTTTTGCAAACATTTTGGCTCTGCTTCGCTTTTAAATATAAGTTCCAACTTCGAGTTATTCCTTTGCTACTGAATCTGAAATTAGGCTATGAGAAGTAGCCAGTGTACATCTTGAACACTTTACTGCTTAGAAATTTCTTCCACAACTAGAGGTGTCCAAGGGAGAGAATACAGTCGTGGGTTCTGAGCTTCTGTGTCTAGTGACAACTTTCTTTCCTCAAAATTAGCATTTAATAAATGAGCAGTTATTTATGGCAATGTTAAGTAACTTTTATAACTTAGGTTAATGATCCATGTATGTGATCAATTAAGTATTTAAATATAATTTGGCTAAAATATTTAATTTACAGGGCTTAAAAAATTCATGTTTGGCTGGGAGCAGTGGCTCACTCCTGCAATCCTAGCATTTTGGGAGGCCAAGGTGGAGGGATCACCTGAGGCCAGGAGTTCGAGACCAGCCTGGCCAACATGGACCAGCCTGACCAATCTGTTCAAATATTTTAAAAATAAAAATTAGCCAGGTGTGAAGGAGGGTGCCTGTAATACCAGCTACTCCGGAGGTTGAGGCAGGAGAATCACTTGAACCCAGGAGACGGAGATTGCAGTAAGCTGAAATTATGCCACTGCACACCAGTCTGTGTGACAGAGTAAGACTCTGTCTCAAAAAAAAAAAAAAAAAAAATTATCATGTTTGTTAATTTGTTGACTTGTAAGATTAGGGAAATATTTACATTTCATGATCTCAAAATTTTTTTAATCTTTTAAAGAGCTCAATGTTGCCTACTTCACAAAGTTATTTATGATGATAAAATGTTTTTCTGCGTATATACAAAGTAGTACCTGCTGCACAGTAAATGCTCAATAAATTTTCTCCTCCTATTTCCATTTTACTCTCTTCCACCACGTAGTGTAGTATAGTGGTTAAGGACAAATATGGAAACACTCTGTGTTCAAATCCTATCTTTAGCTTGTTAACTATGTGACCTTGTTAAATAACCTTGTTAGTTATTATTAACCTTGTTCATATCCACCTTGGGTCACAGTATTTTCATTTGTAAAACATAAGTAAAATATATATCTTAAGCCACGGGAATGGTATGTGAACTAAATTTTTAAGGAAAGATAAAATTCTTGGACTAGTGCCTATGACTGCCTTTTCTACATTAAAGTCTGTGGAATGAATACATTCTGAAAGCGTATGTCCACTACAACTATGGAAGATTAAACTTTCTACTGTCGCAACACTCTAATCAAATTAATTGTTTAAAAAATCTAGCTGCACAACAATGAGAAAAATGGTGCTATCATCATGTCTGATAGTTGCCTCTTCTATACCATAAGGAGCAGAGGCTAAGCTACCTACCATACTGCAGTGGAGAGGAAATTTTTATTATTATCTCCAATGATGATTTCATAGTCACTGTACATAGCAGATCATGTTGGTAATGAAAGTGACATTATAATTCACATAACAAAATAGTTGATAGTATATTTTTAACGTTAGATGAGCTGACCATTTTTATTTATCTTATTTTGCCCAAGAAATGAATGTCTTGGTTAAGGATGGAGAGAACATATTTTGTTTGAAGAAGGAAAAATTAAATTACATTTCTTATCATATTTTCCTACTCCAAAAAATCTAGATTTTCCAACAGCATTATATATATGTATATTTAGACATATACATAATGCTTAAAATATATATGTAATATCATGTTTTTATCTAGTTAGCTCTTCAGAGAGAAAAATAATATGCTTGATGGATTCTTATATAAGACTCAGAGAAAATATTGTAATCGTAACTGGGACTCTGATCTTCTTGAACACTCCAGATAATAATTTTTTTTAAAATTTTAACAATTATTCCTTGAGTCTATAATTTCTAAACACAATCATATATGATGCATTAACAATAAATATATTAGATTCATTATATTTATTTTCTATAAGATAGTATCCCTACTCAATACAGAAGCAGAAATGGGAAAGCTATGAACTCTAAGTCTGATAAAATATATTTTAAGAAACTAAAATATCCTTATATTATTTTCAATTTTAATGTCCTTAGGAGGGCGATGTAATCAAAACAACTTAATTCCTCTTAAAAGGAGGAATTTGTAAAATTATAATATTTTGAAAGTAACTTTTCCACTTGAACATCTCTTTGATTACAAGGTTGTGATGGATAAGGCATTATTTATCTTTCCATACACATGGAAGGAATTCATGTTCCCCCTTTTGCAGTCAAAATCACATTTGGATTTGGAATCACCTCTGTCCCTTTGGAGTTGGATATGATCACATGATGTGCTTTTGAAAATAAGAAAATGTAAAACTAAGTGATCCATGTCCTTTTTTGCCAAAGATTTCAGTTAGGGAGAATTTGGGATATTTTCCCCCTCTAATTTAAATGCCAAAAGTCTTCTAGGTAATAGGTTTACTATCAATTATATCACAGATTTTAGTAACAGAAAAAGACTGAACTATTGGTAGAAATGTAGCGTCATCAACCAATCACTATTGTTTCCAGACTCTGGGATTCCGAGTTTGTTAGTCAAGCACAAACGACACTATAGCACCACCTCATTCCTAGCACCAAGTTATGTACTAAGCAGGATAGCAGAGTGACTAGTATATAACTTGGTGCTAGGAATGAGGTAGTGCTGTAGGACATAGTTAAATGATGAGAGATGGCTTACTGGTTCATTGTCGAGTAGTGAGAAAAACATCAGAAGCTGGAAAGATGAAAATCCAGGTCATGCTGTGGTATTTTGTAAAGTGTTGTGTACAGTAACTTATAAAGTACAGCACAGATCTGATGAAATTGCTGATCTAGAAAAAAAAATTGTTAACACCACCTGTGGTATCCAATATAAATTGGATGCTTATGGCAATGCATTTCAGGAGAGAAGAGTTTATATAAAAGCTTGTGACAGACAATAAATATAAAAGCAGAGTTTAAGTCTTAAAGTCAAAATATCTATCAGCCTCGACTAAAAAAAAATTACTTTATAAGCTTTAAAATCATTGCTTTCTCCCCAAATGCTTGGGGGTAGGAAATGGGCTCTAGGAAAGCTGATAATGTCTTTTAGTTCATAGGTTGCTACGTTAAATAGGCATATCTTATATCATTCAGAGAGTCCAGTGTTTGAGCTCAATGTCATGATTAGAAGGAGTTTGGCATTTCTTGAGGATATGGTGTGTGTATTTTGAAAATGTAAAGGAGATTGGACTAAATAGTTGATGATCAGAAGTGTAGACTCAAATATTACTATTTTTATTATGGTTTGTAACTGGTTCTCACACAGGAACATGGTAGAATTTAATTCACCTACCTCCTGAAGTAACATGTTTTGTGCTGATGAAATACAGGTGAAAGGCTTACATTTATTACCAGACCAAAGCTGGAAGAACCTAACCTAATTTAATTACCCTTTCTTTTAGCCTTTGTCTTAGAAGCAGTCAATGTTGCAGATGACTTCTGCTTTGTCAGTATAGATTCTAAAGTGAGGAGAATGCAGGTTAGATACACCAGTCAATCTGTGATGTATAAGTAGTATGTGTAGAAAATAAGCGTGGGCTATTTTAAGCCACTGAGTTTTGCAACACAACCTAGACTATTCTAGCAGGTGTATTCGATTAAATTTAAATTAAAGACAGCTTTTGTAATTTTGTCAGTTTATTATTAAATATCCTTCAATCATTAGAAGAACCTATAACAAAGAGAAAGACTGTGAGAGCAGTTTTCTTTATCATTGTAACATATTTCTTCTTAAATTATTGCTTGTATATCAATGTCATCTCTTTCATTTAAAAATGGGAGGCATGTTTATAAAGTGTTTTATTGTTCACAAAAGACCATTCAATAAATTGGTTATATTAGTTAATCTATCCAGTCTATGTTAATGTCTTCAATGAATGTACCTACTATATAGTAGGATCTCTAGTCAATAATATTGAGAATAAAGACAGCAGAAATGAACTTATCTTAAATATATAAAGTTGCATCGAAAGAATGACGAGGTTTCTTAGATAATTAAGTTGAATTGTCACAGTTGATATAAAGATTCTGGATTAAAAACTGTTTGAGTGTTGATGTTATTAATGGGGTAGACACAGTTTTTTGCCTAATACATATAGCACTCAGTTCTGGCCATTTAACTTTGAAATTACTCTGAGACAATCATGCAGACTTGTTAAACATCCAGTTGTATGCGTAAGTTTTCAGTTGTGAAAACAAGTTGGTGCTGGTAATATATACTTGAAAATATGAAAATATATGACATTCAAAGTAACAAGAATGAGTGAGATCAACTTCCTTGATAAAACATAAGCTATTTTTACATAGGATCACCAAAGCAATTCAATTATTGTTTGAACCTTCATGGTTCATTTAATCAACAAACTTTTTTTAGAATTTCAGGCATATGAAATGATAAATTTTTCATTGTTCTCTATAATGTCAGATACTCTGCATTTGTTTATATGTTGAGGACAAATTCTTCCAAGAGCATGTAATCCACATAGTTAAATTTAAAAAGTAATGCAATCATTTTTAGTGGCTGGCAATACGTAGTAGCATTTATGAGGACAGTGAGCCAATGATGCAGAAATAATTGTAGCCTCTATCTCTGTGGTTTGATGTCAAACAATTCATTAGTGATATGAACTTTCTAAAATTGATTTTCCTCCCTAATTATTTTTGCTTGAAACTCATTTCATATTTGCCACATTTAAAATCTGTAACATAAATCTTTAAGTAGGAAAAAGAAATATATGACCATCACTTCAAAATTTGAAGTGCTCTAAAATTTTGAAATCAATTTTAAATCTGTTATCTCTCAGGGATACAGGATGTGCTGTTCCTTTAAGTCAATAGATTTAATCTAGTTATCTTTTTTAAAAACCACACCACTTTGACCATCTAAACAATATACAATTAGTAAGAGGACTGCTCAGTTTAAAATAAGCAATGATTCCAAATAATCAATAATGTGCAATAACAAAAGTCTAATCCTCTCTCATATGACATGTCCAAAGTGGATGAACTGTAGCTTTCCTCAAAGACCTATTTATTATGGAACAGATTAAATTAAACAACTTTTGTCTTTATTATGTTCAGTTTCCAAGTAGAATGAACACAAATGTGGTGAACTCATAATGGCTCTTAAAACTTCTGCTTAGATGCTAAACTTGCAACTTCCTCTTAACATTTCACAAGCCAATCAAGTTACATGATCATGCTCCACTTTGACATGCTGAAAATACAAAATATTCTCTCTGAGAGAAACACCCAGAGAGGGACCACAGCGATTTGAACATTTATAACCTTGTAACGTTAAATAAAGCCTCTTTGCATCAAAAATATT